TTTGCAAATTTAAAAAATTTTTAAAATAAAAATTTTTGCGCCTTAGTGAGTGGTTTTTTAAATACAGTAAATAAAGTAATTAACCGACAACTTTTATTTTTTATATACCCCGCTCGTAAAAATATTATGAGATTTTATTTTATTTTTAAAGGGTTTCCCTACCTCAAAAAATTAAAAAAAGGGAAACCCCTTAAAAAGGGTCTCTTTCTTGCCGGGGGGTCCGTCCCGCCCCTTGTCACCACCGATTTTTTTTAGAAAAGGGTTTTCCCGCAAGTTTAAATTTATATTTAATAAATGAGGGCTTTGGGTTTCCCCCTTTTTGGTGTTAAAATAAAATTCCCCGGGCTCAACACGATAAAAAGATATGGGCAAATTTAAAATTTTTGCGAAAATTGTAAGTACCAAAATTTTCCTTTTAAATTTTTAATTTTTTTTTTTTTCAGAAATTTTTTTTTTACTTGTGCTGTTAAACCCTTTTTTTTTTAACCAAAAAATTTTTAAAAATTCTTTGGTTTTAAACCCAGAATTGTCAATAGTACCCTATGGTTTTTTGGGGCGAAAAACCCCTTTTGGTAATTTCCGGTTTAAACCGGGAAACCCGAAATTTGGCAAAAAGAAAAAGTCTTAAAGGGCCCAAAAAAAAGGGGGTAAATTTCAAAAAAAAAAAAGGTACTTACAAATTTTTTGCGAAACCCATGTAAAAAACTTTAGGGCCCTTTTTTGGGACGGAACCCTTTGGGCACGATTTTGACTCGACTGAAACCCTTTTTTTTTTCAAGTATTACATTTTAACCTTTTAAAAAAAACAATAATGTAACCCAAAAAGTTTCTTTAGTTTTTTTTCCCCCACTTTAAAGAATGGCTTAAAATTGGGAACACTAAATTTAACGGGGGAAAAATTTAAAATTTAATTTAAATAAGCTTTAATTTTATTTTTTCTTTCTTTTCCCCGGTGGGCCCCTACTGATTTAGACAATAGTTTTTAAAAAAAAGTAGATAATTTTCTAAAAATAGTTTTCCCAAAGATTTAAAGAAAAGACATTTTAAAACGCTCAAAATTTAAATAATAAAATTTGCCATTTTTTCTTTGGGCCCATCCCTTTAAATCAAATAAAATTTACTGCCTGTGGGGGTTTCAGGGTTTTCATATGCGCTGCTAAAAATGAGGTCTCCCGGGGTTTTTATTTTCCCCCGGGGCAACCCCAAAAATTTTTTATAATCTACAATATTTTTTTCGGGGGTTTTGGGGTTAGAAAAAACCCCCAAAAGGTATATAATGGGATGTATTTAAAAAAAAAAAGTATTTGTATTCTATCGGTCAAACTAGCTTTCATATACAAATTTGTAAGTTTAAAAATTTAAAAAAACATGGCGTTTTGTCAGATGTCCGAAAAATTAAATTTTTTAATTATGGGGACGGATTAAAATCAGATTTTCACCCCCCTATTCATCCCCTGGGGGTCGTAAAGGGCCCACTAAAAACAAACCAACCCGCCTGCCAGCTTGGTAAGTAAGGGCCAAAAACCCCCCTTTCTAAGGGGGAGGCTTAGTCCCAGCAGTGGATTTTAAAGCTGTTTGATGTGATGTGATGACATTATATATGGCAACCATAAGGGTTTGGCGACTATTTTTAGCATATAACAAAAAATAAATTTCGTGAACAAATCCTTTGTTTTGGGGGTTCAAGCGCAAACGAGTATGGGTTTATATAGTAAAACAACCAAATTCCCTTTACGGTGTTAACCGGTATATTTAAATAAAACAGTTCAGGGTTAAAAAAAATTCAGAAAAAACTTAATACCCCGATGTAACTTACACAAAATTTAATAGCGCCTCTAGTGACGGTAATAGCCAAATCACAAAAGATAAAAACTTACGTACAATAACCTGCTTGTACAATGCGTAATAAGAGATACTGTTTTCTTTTTTTCTAGTTTCAACATGTCCGAGGAACAGGAGCAGGTCCGTTGTTCGTCCAGTGAGAGTGAGAACTTTGAGAAGATCGAGTCAGAAAGAAGCTGGTCGGGATGAAGGAGTAAGTACTTTCTAGTCTATTCCTAAGAAGGATACATAACGTCATTGCATCTAGCGAATGCAAACTGAACTGCTTAACCAATACTGTATTGCACAATGAAAGTTTCTCGGCTCATCATCTATGGAAAGTTTTAATAAAAAAAGCCGGTCGGTACGAGTCGAACTCGTGCGCACGAGGGTTCCGTACCTACCCAGATTTACGTAGATTTTCGAAATTTGCCCATCGCTTTTTCATCGTGTTGACTCAGGACCTTGATTTTTACACACCTCATAGGGACCAATAGCTCAGTATCTGGTATAAATTTCAACTTGCTAGGTCTACCCGTTCTTGAGAAAATCGGCGGTGACACACGGACAGGACGAACAAGAAAGTGATCTTATAAGGGTGCCTTTTTTACCTTTTGAGGTACGGAACCCTAAAAGTTACATTTGTAAAATAACTTCTAAAAATGGTCTTTAAATGATTTTTTATCATCTACAGTTAGGGCTTCGAAGGTTTTTATTAAAATGATGATGACTTTCACTGTTCAGACCAGTGCAGTTACCGGACATTATAGTTTATGTAACTAAAGAGCATAGAATGCCCATTAAATTATTATGACCGAAAACTCAGAAAAAAATCAGTTGTATAGCAAACATTTTTTGTCTTTTTCCAGAAATCCAACGCTGACTTCACTGTTGGGGAGGAATCAGAACAAGAACATCCCGAAGATGGTCCTTCTCACGAGGGAAGAGATTCTTTTCCTAATGCCCCTCCTCCAAATATCAGAAGAGTACTCACTGTAGCACAGCAGCTCGCTCTAGCGGAGAAACGGAGTAAACTTAGGTAAGTTGTTTCCTTTTAAGAATGATAGATGGCGCTATCAACAATATTTTGACTGCAATACATTTCTTACCTATCTAGCTTGAATCTACATCTTTACACTAATCTATGTATGTATTTATTACTTTGGCTTAAATTTAACATTTTCTTGAGTTTAGAGTTTATTATTTAAATAGTTTTTTGCTGCGGCCCTCTGAAAGAGGTGGCCTAGAGAAACTCATAGATAGCTAAACGGGTTAGCATGCGCGTACCGATAGAATATAAGCATAGAGTAAACAAGATCCCCAATCTTGCAACATAGGTAACGAGAGAGGTAGATAATAGATAGATACCTCCAAGGGAGGGAACTATCGGGCATCCGTCTCTCTTGTTGCCTTGTATCGCTTCCGCCTTACAGGCAGCTGTACCCTGTGCTCTCTCTGTGCTTATATCTCTATGGGCGTACCCGCCTTTAGGACAGATGGTGAGGGGGGCTAGAAAACATTGTTCAGCAATATAAAGGGGGTCAAATCTAAATTTGACTCCTTACTAGGACCAAGTACTTGGTCCTAGGACCATGTACCAAAGTACGATCTAAACAGATTTTGGCATGGTGTAGGTACAATTAAACCCAAACTAGAAGTCCTAGGCTATTAATTCGTTGTCTACGGTTTACTGAGAAATATACTCCTTAGTATTACATTACCTCCTGGCGATCAGAGAAAACGTCTTGACGGGATTAACTAAAACTAACATTTTAACATTAAAACCAAGATTTCGATAGAATTTCATTAATATTTACATCATTCTATGACATTCAAGAATCTTTTTGGAAACAATTATGGACCTAAAGTTTGATAGATATAGCATGAGCGTGGTCTTGAAAAAGGTAATAACCTTAAATACACATTAAAATCAAACACACACCTATCTGCTACTGCATCTAGGCTAGCTATCTAGTTATAACCAGATAAGGAATTCGCCAAGATTATAAAGATTAGGCAGGATGCAAACAAAAACAATGAAGCAATATAATATAATAATAAAATGCCTCTAAATCTCAAAGCTAGAAGTAGTGGGTGAGGAAAACCTTTAAATCTTCAATTTGGAATTGAGTTTTGACGAGATTTAGACTTGTTTGTTTGTTAATTAAAGGCAGTAATATAAAAACCACGGCACAAGATACGAGACAAAAATCTTTACTATTATTTTTTATTGACACAAACTCTATACCCAACCCGTCTGGCCAGCATAGCAGTATAGTACGCCAAAACCTCCTTTCTAAGGAGAGGCTTATGTCCAGCCACTGCTGGACATAAGCCTCTCCTACACATCACATCAACAGCCTTTAATAGTCCACTGACTATTAAAGGCTGTTGATGTGATGTGTGATGACATGAGATTTTGCTTTGGACAGTTATAATACTTCTCACTCTAAATTTAACTCGTGACACGAGGTCCTATTGAGTTGAAGAAAGAGAGGTCTCTCTCTCTTACTTCAAGTCTGATATGACCGACGTGTCGTTGTCACGAGTATCAAATTTCTAGTTACTATTAAGGTTCCGAGGTTAATAATCTTATATATAAAATTCTCATGTCACAATGTTCGTTCCGTACTCTCCGAAACGGCTGACCGATTCTCATGAAATTTTGTGTGCACATCGGGTAGGTCTGAGAATCGGCCAACATCTATTTTTCATACCCCTAAATGGTAAGGGTGACCCATCCCTAAATTTTTACATATACTAGCTGACCCGGCAAAAACAACGTTTGGCGGGTCAGCTAGTATTCTAAATATAGTATAAAATAAAGTCGCTTATTTACGTTGTACGCTTAGATCTTTTTAAACTAAGCAACTAGTGGAACGAGTGCTTCAAGTGGATTTTTTATATGTTAAATACATGCGTATCAGAGTAGATAAAATCCGAGAATATCAAACATTAAAAAAAAAAACATGGTTTTGCGAGCTTACATTGCAAACGCTAGGCTAATCCTTGCGAGTTAGACCGAAACAATGTACGAGTACTCCGGAATAGTATGCTTTAAAAAGATCTACAAAAATATATGCTATGGTATACGTCTATCTCCTAAGTATAACCCGCATAAAGGACCAAACCGAAGCCCACAACCAATACCACAACCACAGTAACCATTTGTATCTTTTTTTTCTAAAAAGACAACTCCACTCTAGGAATATATCCTGTGTCACGGGGACTTTACAAACATACATGAAACGGACACACAGAATCCAATAGTCAGAACAACAATTTTTTGATCACACAAAGTGATGTCCCATGTGGGTATCGAATCCAAAACACTTTAACGCAGTAGGAAGCGTCGCCGGTGATCGCTTAAACCACTACGCCATCCGTGCAGTCTTTTAAATATTACAAAAAAATAATGGGTTTTATTCCGAAACTATTTTAAACAATACATTATTATTCCTTTTTCAATTAAATACGCTAGATACGTTGTGCATTTAACAGCATATCATTAAAAATAATATTTTAGAAGATATTAGAGGTTTAAAATGGCCTTACGTCCGTCGCGGGTGGCAGCAGCAGCAGTCGCGGTAGGATCGGAGCGAGCCTATAAATATTGCATATAAGATAGATAGGTTGTATAGTCCTATCATAATAATAGTATAATTAATTACTACCACACTGACACCACATTAGTAGTATCAGTAGTAATATAAAGTAGTAGTAGTATAAAGTAGTATCTACATTGCACCCGTACGAAGCCAGGGCGGATCGCTAGTATAACTACTTTAATTAAAGGAGATTGCTGATAGCCCTGACCATATTTTGCTTTACAGGTACATTAACAACGAAAGTAATGTTTTATTTAATGTGTATGATATATTGATTTTTACCCTCTTTTTAATCCCAGTAAAAAAGAAATCAAATAGAGCCGTCGCACCGCGGGACGTGAAACATCTACATTATTTTGTAGAAATAATGAGAATTAAAGGGTAACTTATGAAAATAAATAATGCAATATAGCACAATTAAAAAAAAGAGATTCAATTGTGCATGGCGACCCATCGCCACCACCGCATTACATGTTACAAATTGCATACGAATACCGTGGCAATGCATTTAATGTTGCACATCAAAAAAGATAATAAGTTATTAACAATTATTATTTAATTCTGAAAAAAAGAGCTACATCCGTCAAACCCGATAACTTTTTCGCTTTTCAGCTTCATTGTCAGTTTTTTTCATAAACTGACAATGATCCAAATGATCACAAAAATATTCTTCACCTAATTTGCTTTAGCTGGTATTGTCCAGGTATACAATATTATAATTATAGTAGAAAATTATTGAAATACTAAAAAGAAATTTTGTGACATTACATTAAAACAGCGTAATAAAGAAACTTCAAACACTACGTCAAAGCATTTCGGAACACCGAGGTATAGAACATAGAACTGTCCAGTGTGTGTCAATGTCAATTTGGTTACGACGTTTCGTTGATGTTTGTCTATCGATTAATGTTTTTGATTCTGCGTTTAATAGTAGTTCTGACTGTTTTGTTTTATTTCATTCATTACTACTATGATCGTCGTGGCGTATCGAGATATTCTTTTGTTTGTAGACGCCGGCCGGCGTTCATACTGCTAGATTAAAAAATGGATCGAAGAGGCAGTGTGACTTCAGAGAGTAGTCGGTGGTGTATCAAACTCTTCGATGGGATAACCTCAAAGCCCCAGCGTCATTTTTGTTAAGACAACTCCCGCACTAAGATTACGAGTATATCCTGTGTTGCAGGGGACTTCTATGAATATGAGGAGCAGTCATTTTTGATTGTACCTATATTGTAATGTTTGTAAAAGCTAATATATTTACTAATATACCTAAAAAACTAAATGTTTCATCTGACTAACGATTAAAAATTCTTTATTTGTGTTACCTTTGTTAGCATATAAGTGATTCACTGATAGAAATCGAATTAACACACGTAGTAGATTGTTTGTCATTTTGTTAGTAAGGTCTTCTCCAGGGTAGGTCTAGCTAGGTAGAGGGTATAAAATACCCGCGCGCAATATGTAACGTGAGCGTTAGGTACGTCATAAAACCGATAAAATGTTGACAGCTGTCAATTGGTGTCAAAATAAGAATAGTTAGTAAATAAAATAATTTAGCCAATAGTTTTTTTCAGTCTGGTTACAGTAGTAACAGGCTCAGCCTAGTTTGGGATCAGATGGCTGGTGTGTGAGATGTGTAACATCACATCTCACACATCGGCCTATTACTCTATAAAATACTGTCAATTTCTCTGTTAGCGAAAGGGGCGGCAATTTAAAAAAGAATTTGACTTTTGCCGGTAGACCAAACTTTTTTGTGTCAAACGAAAGCCATGTTTCGACACAAACTGGCCGGCTATACAGGAGTGACACCACGAACCGAGCGAACATAGTCAACGGGTACCAGCTAGTATTAAATAAAAAGATAAAACATAATCACACTGTCATAAATATTATATTAAAAATAAAGTGTAATGTATTCCTATCTCATTCTCTCGCCGACTTAATCCTATACATTTATGTGTTTGTTTCTTTATCGTGACGCATTTTCGTTTCATCGATTTTCAAATCACAACTATTCTAAAGAAAATTTCACTTCAACAATATTACCGCGCTATCTATAAACCACTCTTTATCAACATTATACTTTTTCTTCTCTTTAAAGGAAAACTCTCACACTAGGAATGTATTTTGTTTCGGGGGCACCAGGGACTTCCTTTGTAGGGTATACCTGGTTCCCCGGCTATTAGTAACCCGAGACGGCGTGCGGTTTTAGTCGGTTCGAGTCCGACATGCCACCGACAGTGGTATCCCGAGGGGGATTTCCGCACGGAAAAAAAAAGGGGGGACTTTACGAACATTCATTTGCTTGTGTTGAGGTCTCGGGTTCAATTCCCGGGTCGGACCAAATGTTATTGTATGATCTTGAAATAGTTGCTTCCGAGTTTGGGTCTTTTCTATGTATAATATGTATTTTTTTTACATAAAAAAGCATATCTACCCGTCATAGTACAAAGCTCTACTTTAGTTTTGAAACTAGATGTCGTCGTGTCAGATGTCCGAAAAATGTTATTATTATTTATTTAAAACTAACACCTAGAACCCCAAGAAACACCTAGACTCAGAAACAACAATTTGTGGAAAACACTAAGTGTTGTTCAATGTGGGGAATCAACCCCAACACTCAGCGCAGTAGGAAGGGCCAAAGTGCCTGCGAAAACCATTTTACGCCATCCTTTGCAGCCATAGGGTGGAAATCGAAACCATGACACTAAAATGGGAATCGCATTTGGCAATGCTTTTCTATCCGAGCCCCGGAATCTTTGAGTTCCAAAGTTCAAAATTCAACCCCAACCCGATTGTTTTTTGAAATTAAAAACCACAGATATTTCTTTCCATTTTCCCACTCTAGAAACGAAAATTTGGAACACCCAAAAAAAAACGTAAAAACTATTATAAAGTTGCAATAAGCTTTTTTTATTACATAATGGGTCAGGACAGCCTTGTTGTGACGTTATGATTCGCGCCCGCCAAAGAAGTTTCAGGATTTCTCGACCGTTTTTGTGGGCAGAACGTTGCTTACGGATTTTTTAGTTAATTTTCCTGGCAATTCGGGAAAAAAAAATTTTGGGGAAAAATTTTTTTGGGTTTTGTGTTTTAGACATGTATTGATTTAAAAGTGGATTGTAAAGGGTTTTTTCCCGCGTCATTTTTTTTTAAAAAAATTTTTTGACTTTTTGGGTTTCTTTGGGATTTTTTTCTAGGGGGGGGTAATAAAATATTTATTTCAAATATCAATATTTTTGCTTAATTAAAAAAATTAGGGAAAAAATTATTTTCATGAAGGGGAAAAATTCCCGATTTATTCTTTGTTTAAAAAAATTTCGCACTTTAATTTAGACCCAATAAATTTTTTATGGGGTTTTAAGTTGTTAAAATTTAAAATTTTTAAGCCGTTGGGGGTTTGAGTCCCTTAAAAACGACTGTAAAAATTTTGGGTTTCAAATGATCCCAAAAAAAAACTTTATTTGGGTAATTGACTGACAAAAAAATAAAGGGGAAAAAATTTTTTAAAACCTTCTTTATTCTTTTTTTGTAACTCACTAATGAGGATTTTTTGTTTTACAGTTATTTTTAATTTTAAAAGAAATTTTTTTTTTAATATTTAATCAATATAAAAAAATCAAAAATTTTTTAAAAGGGACAGATTTTTTTAAAAAAACAAGAAATTTTTAAAATTAAAACATAAATAGGGTAAAAATTTTTTTTATTTTTTTCCGACGAATAGTTTTTGTCGGGGAGGAAGTGGGTTTTTTCCTACAAACCCCGTCCTCTACTTTTAAATAAAATAAAAATCCCTAAGCACTAAAAAAAGCAAGGGTGATTGCCCTCATTTCCCCTATGCGGATATAATCTTTTGATTTTTCATTTTAAAATGTTTTAAATTGGGGGTTAAAAAAACAGACAAACAAATTTTAAAATTTAAACCCTTTCCCTCGTTCTTTCCCAAGATGTGTTTAACTTTTTAATGTCGCTTTATAAAAAAAAATTTTGGTTTTCCCGGAAAAATGGTCCTGGAAATGTTTTTTAGGGTTCCGTCCCTCAAAAGCAAAAGGGAAAACCCATATAGGATCACTTTTTGTAGGCCCGTCAGCCCTGCCCTGCCCCAAGCCCCTTTTAATCTGGGAAAGCGTAAAGGGAAATCGAGTTAAAATTTAAAAAATGATATTCTCAGGTCTACAGTCTCTTAAAGCGGGTAGACCTCGGTGCGCCCTTAATCCCTTTAAAAACGCATTTTCGAAAATCTAAAGGGAATTAAAAATTTTAGGGATTTTCCGTTAACAAAAAAAATTGGGAAAATTTTGGAAAGGGTTATCCCTTTTTATACTGAAAAAATCTAAATTTACGTTACATTGGCCCTTTATGAAAGGGGAACGGCGGTCAAAATTTTAAATTTTGGTTACCCTTTCCCTGTGGGTTTTTCATTCTTTTTCCAGTAAACCATTCGTGAAATAAATTTGTAATTGGATTAAATTTGTTTTTTTAAGTAAAAAACAAATCTTTTTTTGAGAAATGTACCAAACAATTTTTTATAAATAACCTACAATTGGCCCGTGTGGGGACGGATTAAATACGATTTCACCACCCCATTCATCCCGTGGGTGTCGAAAAGAGCCCGCTAAGGGAGAAAACTACGCACTAAAACCAGCACTGCAGAAAAAGGGAAAATTTGAAAACAACCCAAATCCCAAACCGCCCGGGCCCAAGCTTGGTATAGTAGGCCAAAACCCCCTTTTCAAAAGGGAGGCTTATGTCCAGCAAGTGGACTAAAAAAGGCTTGGTAAATATGATGAAAATTTTAGGGAAAATTTTTGTTTTATCGTGCGCCCCTTTTTTAAAAATCCCTTTTTTGGTACCAGTTGGGGAGTCAAAACTGTATCAATTTGGTGAGACCAAAAGTTGTCGGAAAAAAATTTGAGACCGAACTTTTTTTACGAAAATTTGGGCCCTTTCTGGATCCTTTTTTTTTAAGCCCACGCGGTTTTTTTGTCTAAGAAATTAAACTTATTTAATTAAAATTATGATAAAAGTATATTTTTTTTAATTTATTTCCTTTTTTGGGGGGGTTTAAATTTTCAACCTTTTTTATTATTTAATAAAAATTTTTATTATTATTTTTAATATATTATATTTTAATATTATATAAAATATTTTATAGTTTATGTTTTTTAAATTAAAACCCTTTTATAAAATTTTCGAAAATTAAAAAGTTTTAAGCTTTTGGGCTTCGAATTTGTTTCTTTATTTGAAATTTGGAAAAAGTTAACAATTGAAATCTCTAAACTTTTCAAAAAATTTAAAAACCCAAAACAAAAAATTAAAAAATCGTAAAAAAACCGAATTTTCTGTCGAAAGGGGGAACATATTTTTTTTTAATTATATGTATTTAACACCACTAAACGAATATTAACCCCCAAAATAAAAAAAAAAAATAAAAAAAGCTCAAAATAAAAAAAAAAATAAAATAACACTTTTTACACAAATTTTAAAGCGATTCCATTCAGCCCATTTACGAAAATTTTTATAGAGATTTATTAAATGTGTGTCAAAAAATTTTCGATTACCGTCAAAACCAAATTTCGGGGGGTTTTCAACCCCCGTAATGATACATGGGAAACTAACAATGGAGCCTAATCATTTTAAACCCTACAAAAAAATTAAATTTTTAAGTTTACGGTTTTTCTAGGTGGGAAAAATTTTTTTGGGAAAAAAATAAAAAATAATGTGCATACAGGGGAATTACCACGATCCCGTAATGATTATTATGAAAAAAAAGTCGGGACGTTTTTTTTAAAAATTTTTTCCCTTTCTTTTTTAATAGTGAGTGAAGGGCACCAGAGCCCATTTAAAACCCCCCTCCCCCTATTTTTTGGGGAGTGGGACTCATAGGGCCCCTTTAAAATGACTCTTGAGTTCTAGGTTTTTAGCACTTACCCTCTGGTTTGGGCCCAAACTGCTCGTTTACCCCCTTTCTGTTAAAAACCCTGTGGTGACGGATTTAAAATACGGAGTGTCATCACCCCCATTCATTCCCGTGGGGG